AAAGAATATAAAATAGAAGATAAAAGAATATAAAATAGAAGATAAAAAAGAGGCCTGTTTGTAAATCAAAATCCACTGTGCTCAATTTTGATAGGGACAAAAGCAACCAACAAGAACTTCCTAAGGACTTTCAGAATTTATCTCAAAATCAGATGTTTCCCCAAGTGTCAGAGCCCATCACCGAAGTGGTGACCTTACCCCAGGGTTTAGGTCTAAATATTGAGGTGGTTTTCTTCTGGTAATAATAATAAAAATAATAAAAGTAATAATTCTGCCTCCATGTTGCATCACTGCTCATCAAGGGCAATGCCAAGGGGAGATAATGGAAATACAAGGAGAACAAAGGGAGATAAGGAGGGGACAACACAGTCCTGGGAGCAAGTTGTCTCTGCCTTGGAATTGGGAACAGATTGTCATCCCATAGGATAACAGGAGATGGACTGGGCACGTGGACAGAGGGTCAGGCCAAGGCTGTGGGAGTTGGCAGGGGAGAGGAAAAAGTGAATCTGTATTTAACAGTAAAAATGGCACTAATAAAGGATGACCCCCAGAGCAGCAGCTGGGGGCAAGGGATGGGTCAAAGTGGGCACATCCTGAGGCAGAGGAGCCAGGGGGACCCTCAGAAATGAAGCAATGGAGGTGGGCAGTGAATCCTCCCTGACCCTGACAGCTGGAGGACAAAGAATGAAGGAAGTTCCTGGCTGGACAGCTGGGGGATGATCCAAGGCTCCAGTGTCACCATTTCCCCCCATCTGGGCTGTTCTCAGCACCCTCATCCTCACCCAGCACCAAAGGACACCCTGGGAAGCCTCTCTGGCCTTTGACAGCAAACCCAGGCAGGAGCTTGGCCAGGGACCCCATAAAACCTGGAACTCTCAGACAAAAAAGTGGATCTCGATGGAAAACTTATTAAAAAAAACCAACAAACCCACCAGGGTAATTTATTGTGCATAAAAGGCATTCTTGGCTCGCCAGGAGAGAACACGAGGGGCCTGTCCTTTAAATTCCTGACTCCTTGGCTGGGGGAAGCAGAGCAGGTCTCACCCCCTTGGGCCCCAAAGCTTTGGATGCAGCACCACACAGAAAATGCTTTAACTCACAGGAGAGACATAAAACTGTGGTGCAGGAAGAACCAGGTTAACAGGAAAATGTCACGGAGCTGCTGGAAGGGGAGCCTCCAGTGCTGAGGGAAACAAGTGGGATTTCTCACAGGCAGGTCACAGAACCAGGGATGGAACAGGTTGCTCAGAGAAGCTGTGGCTGCCCCTGGATCCCTGGAAGTGTCCAAGGCCAGGTTGGACAGGGCTTGGAGCAACCTGGGCTAGTGGAAGGTGTCCCTGCCCATGGCAGGGGGTGGCACTGGATGGGCTCTAAGGTCCCTTCCCACCCAAATCATTCCAGGATTCTGTGATTATTATGTATTTTTATTAATAAGTTGTGATAAGACCCAGGGACGTCTGCCAGTGACACAAAATCCAGGAACACTGTGGGTTCAGGAAAGGAACAGAGGCTCTGAAGTGGAGGATGTGAGGGCTGGGACAAATTTAATCCCCTTTCTTTAAACAGCACAGAAAGTGCAAGACCCCACTCGGGGGGGCTAAAAAGAGTTTCTGCTGTGAGGTGGGACCTGGTGGGCTGGGAAGGACAGAGGGACACAGGGGTGGTGATAAATCCCCTCCTAATGGGAAGAAGGGCCCTGTGACCTCCCTGTGATCAGGAAAGGTCTTTGCACAGAAAATACCACACTGAATCCGTGCCCGGCTCTGCTCTCCCACCTCCAGGAATGGCACAGCAGCAGTGCCAAGGGCAGGGCCCAGGGTGGCACATGGAATACTGAGAGTCTCACCAGTGAGCCAGGAGTCTTATGTTTGGCTTAACAGACACGGGTATGGAGTGGGGAGTGGGAGTTCTCCCTGGAATTCTCTGGAAGCAGAGGAAAATCACTGTTGTATAAAGGCTGTGACAGGATAAAACCAAGCAGGTGCAAACTGGTCCTAATAACAGCTGAAGGGAGAGTCAGGAGAAGGTTCCTGCCCACCTGGAATTCCCAGGAGCATGGTGGGGGCACAGGAGCTCCTTGTGATTCACACCTGGTGTGGCTGTGAAGGAATTCTGTGACACTGAACCAGCTCTAACAGGTATCACCTTGGAGGCCCCTTCCAGACTCTGACCAGAAGATTCCTGAGCATTATCAGTGACTTATCTGGAGGACAGGGAAGTTCTCCAGCACAAATGGGAACTGTGTGAGGACGAATCCCAACATCCCTTGTCAGCACTGATCCCTCATTTTCCTTTAATTTTGAGAGTGTCACCAACTCAAAGCTCACCCTTGGGCCCAGAGGCAGTGACTTCCAGCCAGGTGGGTCCCTGGGCCTTACCTGTCCCTCAGGGCGTGGTTCCTGATCTCCTCCACCAGCTGGAAGACGCGGGACAGGGGGGAGCGGAACACATCCACGGCCAGGAAGTTCTTCTGCCACGGGGACACGGTGGCTTTCACAAAGATCTGCTGGATGTAGGCCACGGGAGCACCCACGTACTGCGGGGGGACAGGGGCACGGTGAGGCTCCTGGGAAGCTCCCAGCAGGAGCGGGCACAGCCTGGGAAGAGCTGCCCCAGGCTCTGTCTGCCCCTCCCTAAGCAGAGGTGGAACGTGACAGGACCAACAGAGCAGGAACAAAAAGGGGGTTTCTCCAAGAGGCAAAACGCCACTGAAGGTTCTGGGGCACTTCTGTGGGAGGCAGGGGCTGCCATTCCTGCGGGATTTGGTCCCGGGAGGGCAGGCAGGAGCAGGGACTCGCTGCCTCTCACGGTGCTGCAGATCCCCCCAGCCTGTGCTGGCAGGTGGGATTGGATGATCCTGGAGGTCTTTTCCAACCTCAGTGGCTCTGTGATTCCGTGTGAATCCCCCTTTGTCCCTCAGAGTGGCAGAGGACACACAAGAACCAGAGGCAGCGCGAGCAGCAGGTTCCTCACGGAGTCGCTGCCAGGCTGCTCCCTCGGGCACTCCATGGACGGGGCACCACAGCCCCCCTGGGCCACAGAACCGCTCCCAGCGAGGCCCAGGGGGCACAGCAGGGCCGTCCATCATCCCCCAGCCCCGGCACTCACCCAGTCAGGTCTCTCGGCCGGGTCCCCGTGCGGCGCCGGGCCCGGCGCGGGCGGAGCGAAATCCTTCACCGGGGTGCTGAACTCCACCGGGCCCGTCCCCGGCAGCGGCAGCTTCAGCAGAGGGTAACTGGGGAGAGAGCAGCACACAGAGCAGTTGGGGCTCTGGAGGGACTCTGTGAGACAGAAGAGCTCCAAAACACGAGCGGGCCCAGGCCAGCGCAGGCTGAGCTGTGCATGGCAGGGCACACGGCCAGAGGGCTTAGGGATTCATGGGAACTGATCCTGTCCCAACACAGGAGTCCTTCTCCATTGGAAAGGGATGACTAGAAGTCCCGGAAGAGGAAGAAGACGAATTCCTCCATCACCTCAAAGTCAGTCGTGCTAAAAACACTGAGCGTGGCCATGGCTCAGTTATTGCAAATCCTGCACGAACCCAAGACATTCAGCGCTTTCCAGGGGCTGCCTCCCTGCCCCAAACCCTTTATAATCCCCTCATTTTCCTCATTTGGATTGAAACCATTTCCAAAACTTGTCACTAATTTCATTTGTCCTCAAAGCACTTCTAAAGGCAGCAATGAGACACCAAAACAGCTACGAAATACTGATCTTGCTCCTTTGCCCCCTCAGCCTTCAGCTGAGCAGATGTCCCACAACAAAGGCTTTAAACTACTCAGAAGTTGAGAAACTGGTGTTTCAGAGAGTTTAGAACAGGGTTTGTAACTCCAGAGGTTCTCAAAAGTGGTTAAAAGCAAATCAGGACTGAAGTGGTGGGACAAACAGAGCTGCTGATACAGAGATCGATGAGCTGGGACTGTCAGCACTGAAAGGAACTGGAGAACAACCTGGGTCTTTTCGTGGCCTTACAACTCCTGATATATTTTCCTGTTTATAGATTAATTTTCTGGCAATATTTCCAGAGCAAATATAAAGGCCTTGGATTTGTTTTCATGCAACGCTCTGCCCACTTCATTAGGGCTTAGTCTGGATCATCAGAGGTCAGCAAGGAACAAGCAACGAGGCCTCAGAGTGAACAACAAACAGCAAAAAAGAACAATAAAATCAGAGGCAAAGCTTGTCAGATTTGCTTTTTATTAGTCTGACAGAAACACAACATCTACTTATTATCATTTCCTTACGGAACGGGAGGGAAGAGAAAAAGGAATAATAAAATACCAAAATCAAATCAAGTGATAAACAAAGCCCAGGGACTGACCAGACTGAGGGGGGATGATTTTTTCCCTGGATGATTTTTTCCCTGAATGATTTTGATGCCAGGACAGGACATCCCAGTGTGTTGTTGGGCACATGGACAAAGAAAAACCTGAACCTGTTTTTTATTATAATCCCCATTTTCAGAGAAATGACCCACAGGAAACCCACATCTAAAAGATTTAAACTAAAGGTTAAACCAGCCCCTGTTGTCTGTACACGGCTGTGTGTAGCTACTACAGCCCCTACTGCAACACCTGGACTACTCATGGCACAGATCCCAGGAGAGCTCAGTTATTGGGATTCCTGTTCTTGGGATTTGGGAGTTGGACCAGCTGATCTCCTCAAGTCCCTTCCAACTCCAACCATTCTGGGACTCTGGGATCTAACACAGATGGCAGGAAAGCTCATGAAGAAGTTCTGGGTTTGAGAAAAGCTCTTTTCAGAAGCTCATGTCACAGTGCACCTGAAACCCTTTGGAAAACCCATCCTAAAGGAAAAAATGGCTCATGCAACAAGCTGGAATTGGTGAACTGAAGTGAGAGTGCATTTTAGCCACCAAGCACAAGGGAGGTCTGAGCAAAAACGCTCCTCCAGCTCTTTTATGTATTCCCAGAAGGGCTCAGGATCCAGGATGGAGCAGGGCCAGGTGAGCCCCAGGAAACCCCACACTGGCACGTTCCTCCTTCCCAGGGCAGCCTCAGCCAGGGAGGATGGAGGGGAGCAGGGAGCTGCCAGGTCCCAGGGAACATATGGAATTCAACCAGCTCCCAGCTCTGCTGGCTCACTGCAGGACAAGCTGTGGGCCTGTCTGCAGCCTCAGCTCTTGCAGGGACAGCCCAGCCTGGAATCCCACTGCTGAGGAGAGGGGGAATCTGGTAACATTCCCTCTGCCAGAGGCTTGGGAAGGTCAATATCTGGCAGCAACAGCTCCTTTTTAGCCTTGGCAGGTGCAGCAACAGGCCCTGTTTCTGAATAAGTGACGGTGGCTTTGCCCTGTTTCCCACTGCCAGGGCCCCAAAACCCTGCCCTGGGAAAGGAGAACTCCCCTTTCCTGTGCAGCAGGAGAGAGGCCTCATCACACACCCCCTGCTCCAGCAGCATCAGGAAATCCCAGGGGAGACTGTTCTGTGGGGATCCGGAACACGAGGAGCCCGAGGGCAACTCAGCTCCTCTGGTTACCCAAATGGTGCAAAACTGTGAGACTGAAATGTTCTTCCAGCAATAAATAAATACATAAATATACACCCCCCCAGGGGCTCTGGGTCCAGCCACTTCTGCACTTCTTTAGGAGCAGAACTTCCCGTTTCAGTCAAATAACAAACACCTGCAGAGCCTGAGCTGTTTAACTCCCCTGAACCTGCTGCACAGGCTCATGTCCAACTCTACTGCACCCAGGAGCTGTTCTTCAGAGTGACACAGGCACTTCAAATTCACCCTGATGGCCACGTTTAGAGGCATCACCCCTTCCCTGGGCTGGCAGGAGGAACCACTGGTGTCACACAGGGTCAGTGGCACTCCCATTTTAGGGAAAAAAAGGCAGATCCCAAAGCAGATCCATTCAAAGGGGATGAGGAAAATAAGTGTCACCTACAAAGGATTTATAGTAAAACAAGAAAACCTTCCCTCTGAAGCGGAGACTGACTTGGATTTTCAGATTACAGAGTGAGAATGAGTCACAGGAATTTGTGCTTTGGATATTACTTTATTATCAAACCCAGAGCCATCATGTCTTGTCTATCTGTGTCCACACAGAACCCCCCCAAGGCTAAAGACAAACATGTTCCACACTGGAACAGCCTCTGTGGTGACTGTGCCAGGTGATCCTCACTCTGCCCTCCCCAGGCAGGAGGAACCCCTGCATGTCACTGCTGTCACCCTGAGCCCAGAACTGAACCTGGATACGTGGGATTTATTCTGGACCAGGGGATTTATTTCAGCTTTTAGAAACCTTCTCTGCACACAAGGATGGGCGGGTTTGACTGAGGTGAGGGGGAGGAAAACAACAGCTGAGATCATTTCCTCTGCAGCAGAATTCCACAAGCTCTCCTCGATCCCAGGTGCAGAAGGAGAGAGGACTGCTTCACCTCTGTCCCTTTGAGGAATTCAGGATGCAAGATCCATTCCTGTTTGCTGGAATGTCTCTACTAACCACATTTCAGGCTGAGGAATAAAGAACAGATCCCTTGTGCTCTATTCCCTTCTCTTCCCACCCACGTCTCCAGGGACAGGGACGGACCTTCTCAGCAATTCTGAGGATGTTTCCAGCTCCTTCCCTGTTCACAGAAGTCAGGATGAACCCCCTGGATCACTGGGTATCTTCTTTCCTCCTTAGAAAGACCTGCCCAAGGTCAGGCTTAGGCCTTGTTGCTCCCTCCAGCTCCCTGACAGGAGGGGGGAGCCGGGGGGGGTCGGGCTCTACTCCCAGGGAACAAGGGACAGGAGGAGAGGGAACGGCCTCCAGCTGTGCCAGGGGAGGCTCAGGTTGGATATTGGGGAAAATTCCTCCTGGAAGGGGCTGTCCAGCCCTGGCACAGCTGCCCAGGGCAGGGGTGGAGTCCCCATCCCTGGAGGGATTTCCAAGCCCTGTGGATGTGGCCCCTGGGGACATGGTCAGGGGTGGCCTTGGCAGTGCTGGGGGATGGTTGGACTCAGTGGTCTGAGAGGGCTTTTCCAACCTTCAGGATTCAGTGATTCCATGATTCTGAGTTCCCTGC